TTTTTTTTTTTTTTTCCCCGAATCGCTCTTTCTGTTGTCGGCTGTTTTACTTCTCTTTCGATTTTTTAAAATTATTTGGTGGGGGAAATTTTAAGTAGATAAAATCTCCTCAGAGATTTTATTCTAGACTAGACAGATAAACGCCCTTTTATGTAAGATTTCTGTGCGATTTTTACTATTATTGTTCTAAACAGAGCAATTTGGCTGGTAGTATCCATGATCTGTATCAAGGATATAAACGACAGTGCATTTAAAGAGGTCTTACAGAGAATTTGTAATTCGAAATTCGTCGTTGTAAATTGTGTCAGAGTCGTAGAGCTCTATTTCATCAACAATAACAAACATCGCGATTMTTTTTTGAAATCCTATCTTTCTGCAAATCCATATTTCAGAACTTTATCCGACAGAATAGTTTGCATCCCTCAGAAGACAGTAAGGAATAAGGGAATTGCAATGACCTGCTATATTGTAGGTGAAAACAGAATGTTATTACGTTGTCTATATATACCCTGTAGAACCGAATTTGTGTGGTATTCATATAGTCACAGATTCGATTCTAGGGGAATATATGGTCGATGCAAAAACTTCACCTTTCTGCAAATGGTTAGGAGCTTAAATACTGACGGAATCAAAATACTCATGCACGCTGAATAGTGAGAAATTCTAAAAGTTTTGCTGCCTCTGTCATTTTTAACATACATAGCAACGTTTATTTAAATTTTATTTGTCGTTGAATCGTAACTGCCAGTAACAGACTGTGAAATTAAACAGTTAAACTCGCAATAGCTGCAAATTTCTGTAAAAGAAAAAGACAAAAACCATCAGCGCATAAATCTTTAAAAAGATACTTATAAATTAGTTAGATATGCCAGACGTTAGCAAAATTTTCCTGTCAAGGATCCATATTTCATCAAAATATTTACGAAAGCTGCAAAAGCAGCATTCAGTTCTTTGGAATGTATTTACTTGTGTTCCAGGAATGATGCTGGTGAATGAAGACCGAATTTATCTCATTAAATCTGTACTATTTTTAACGTAATTAAATGGCATCGCCAGTTCAATTGACTGAACTTTAACGGTTAAAAGTGAACATTTTCTTGTTATCTGTGTGGGGTTTTTTTTGCACATGTAGGTATATCTATGTGTGTGTGTCTGTGTGTATACACAAACACACGTATATATTGAGGCTCGCAAAGTGAATGAGAAGTTACTGATTGTCTAATTTTATTCAGCAGAACTAAATTCTGGTAACTTTTGGATGACCTCTGCGAGACAAAGACAGGACAGATCTATTGTACATCATATTACCCTCTTCTTTGATGTCTTTTCTTCCCCTCGCCTCCTTATCAAATTCCTCCCCTTTTTAAAACCCTGCTTCAGCTCCTCGCTCCTTAAGTCTTTCGATATTTTATTTGAACCGAAGTGGCGAACCCCTTTGGGGATTTGGGCAGCTCAATCGGAGGGAAGGGCACCAGAGAGTAGCCAAGGGAGCGCAGACAAAAGGCTGGCGATACCTGCGGCTCGGGCGGACACCCCGCGCTCGGGACTTCTTCCTAAAACCCGGCTTTGTGCTTCGGGGAGGGGGAAACCTGGCAAGGGAGGGGGCCACTTGATTACACGTATGTTATTTAGTTAAATTTGTGGGAATTATGAGCTGCACACGGATGCGGTGATGAGCTCGCCGCCTCCCCATTGGCCGCGCCGGTCACATGCGCGCCAACTTTATTCAGTTGACAGCAAGTAGGAGGGCTCTATGGCAGGGGGGAAAAAAAGACAACACGAGAAAAATTAGTATTTTCTACCTTCAGAAATTAATGGCCATGAGTTCGTATATGGTGAACTCTAAGTATGTGGATCCCAAATTTCCTCCTTGCGAGGAATATTTGCAGAGCAGCTACCTAGCCGAGCAGGGGTCAGAGTACTACAGCGCCTCGCAGGGCGCTGATTTCCAGCACCAGGGAATCTACCCACGGTCAAACTACAGCGAGGCGCCCTTTAGCTGTAGCAGCGGCCCGGGCTCCGCCGGGCAGCCGCGGGGTCACGGGCAGGAGCAGTCCGGGCCCGCGGGCCCCTTCCCCGGCCCTGCGGAGCCCTGCGCGCCGCCCGCGCTGCCCTCGTCCCGCGCCTGCAGCCAGCAGCCGGCCCTCAAACCGCCGAGCGGGGCAGCGCTTAAGCAGCCGGCGGTAGTTTATCCTTGGATGAAGAAAGTCCATGTTAACTCGGGTAAGGATCCTCTTCTTACTTTGCTCTTCTCCTCCCTCCGCGCTTGCGGTTATCCTCCGAGGTGGGGGCTCCAGTCCTCTCGCTCACAAGGCATCCGGGCGAGCATTTTTTTTTTTTTTTTTTTTTTTTTNAAAAAGCGAGGAAGGAAAACGCCGAAAGGCTCCGCTTCTGCACCCGGGAAGAGCCACCGGCGAGCGCCCGCACTCCACGCGGAAAAAAAAAATCAAAAGGGGAAAAAATTAAAAAAAGGAAAAATGGGGGGAAAAAAGGGAAAATGAGGGAAGAAGAAAAAAAGTAATCGCCGCGGAGAAAGCAACTTCCAAACGTAGAAAGAGTATTAAGAAAATAAAACCTTTGCACAGAGGCTCCCACGCTCCCAGTTCCTTGTTCCACGGGGATCTGCAACAAGTTGTCTGCAAAGGAGGGACAAAAGTAGAGGGATGTGTTTTGTTGGTTTTTTTTTTTTTTTTTAAGCGAGGGAGCCAATTACACTCGTCATAAATTTTTATTGCCGAGGAAATAGGCCGCCGGCCATGTGGGGCTTTTCTCCGCTCTCGAAGCCTCTTGGAGGCTCGCAGCCTCCCTAGCCCGGCGCGTCCCCGTGCTGAGCACGGGTGGAAGCAGCACGTCCATTGTAAGGCACTGGGATGAAGCCAGCCCGGCCACATGCTCGCAGTCCCTGAGGTTTTGTTTGGTAAAGTACAACCGGAAAGTCAAGATTAGCTTTGTAAAGTTCTCCGTATTTTTTTCCCAGTGAATCCCAATTACAGCGGAGGGGAACCTAAGCGCTCCCGAACAGCTTACACCAGACAGCAAGTCCTAGAACTGGAAAAAGAATTTCATTTTAACAGGTACCTGACTAGGCGCCGCCGCATTGAGATAGCCCACACTTTGTGTCTCTCTGAGCGCCAGATCAAGATCTGGTTTCAGAACAGAAGAATGAAGTGGAAAAAAGACCACAAACTGCCCAACACTAAGGGCAGGTCTTCTTCCTCTGGTTCAAACCCACATTTACAGACTGTTTCCAAGGACCATCAGACTGACTTGACAACTTTATAGAAGAGGTGAAATTTTCCATTTCATCCTTTGCTTCTGACCAGTACTGTACATAACTGACATTATCCAAGCAGAACCTGCATGTAGCAGCTAAAGAATCAAGACACTGTCATCTTTCTTTAAGGTACTGTTGTACAAAGGAGACAAAATGAAGCTACTTTGGACTTTATTTTATTTGCCTCTACTAGCACAACCTAAGAAAGAAAGAAAGAGAAAAGAAACATCAAGCAGGCAGTGGGAATTGGGAAAATATTAAAGGAGACCCTCTGTCCATTAATAGTAATAAATCATTGAAAATGAAACTGTCCTGTGTTTCAGTTTTGAATTTGGAAATGAAGGTTAAATGCTTTATTCTGGAATTTTGCTTTTAATTGTATTTTTATTCCATGCAATTTCGGGATGATGCATTAGGGCAAGTTGAGGTTAGSAATATCATAGTATAGTCTTTTATTTAACCATGAAGACTAGTATTTGTGAACTTTTTGTGCTGCTTTACCTTTCTTGGTGTAATGAAAATACTTGCTCATTTCCATACCATCTCAGAAGATGTGCATAGGAATTAAGTGAAAACGGGTTATTTTATGTTCTGATTGTGTTAGCTTATTTATTTATATGTTATGTAGACAAATGAAGCAAAAATGAAAAGAAAAATAGTCAAACCAAAAATGGGAAGGGGGAGCTGGAATGCAGTATTTCTCCTTCCCAGTTTCATGATCACATGTACAGTGTTTACTTGTCTTGAACGTACACAACTTTCTTGTCCTTTTTTTGTTTATTTTTTATTTTTTAAAAATTTCCTTCTTTGTGAATATAAGAAGCGTCCCTGCCCCTTATCCTGCAACATCCAGCTTGAAAATCTGTTTCCAAAGTCTGTTCTGCTCTGCGCTGTACTTTAAACCAACGATACCTCATTAAAGAAAAAAAAAAAAAAGAAAAAAAAAGGAGAAATAAATCAAAAAGAAAACTCCAGAGTGAAAAGCGATTTCCAGTATCGTTTGAGCAATTTTGTTTTTACTCCCAAAGCTGATCAGATTTAAAAATTATTTTCTGTCGAAAAGAGAGAAGGTCGGTGTGGGTTGCTGCTTTGTTCTGTTTTGAGTTATTTGAGCTTTTTTTTTCTTTATTTTTTGGGGCGTGGGGAGGGAGAAGACTGATTGTTCATAAGCAAACCACAGTACTTAAGTGAAATATTTAGACATCTCAGGCAGTTAATTTGAGGGGAAGGAGGAAGGCTGGAAAGGCAGGAGAGTTGGGCTCCCATCCCCGCTTTTGTCCGTGGCTGCCGCTCGTATCGCGTGGAAGTTTGGGGCCCATCGCCCCGCGACCCCCAAGCGGCCAACCCGGCCAGACCTTCTGCCCCTGCCCGGGGGGCTGCGGGCTCCGTCCTGCGCTCCCCACCCTCGGGCAGAGCGACCAGATCCTCAACATTTTAGTTAGATGAGCTTGCTAGGAAAAAGTGAGGGAAAGAGAGAGATAAATAAATAATTAAATAAACAGGGACCAAAAGCTCAAGAGCTCAAGTTCTCTCTCTCTCTCTCTCTCTTTTTTTTCTTTTTCTTTTTTTTCTTCTCTTTTCTCTTTTCTTTTTTCTTTTCTTTTTTCTTTCTTTCTTTTTTTTTTTTTTTTTTTTTTTTTTTTTTACAACATGCGAGTCCTCGTTAAATTGTCCGTCTCCAGGCTGAGCGTTTCCCACTGATTTCTAACTCACTCGGGGGAAGCGCCAGGAAAGCCGGGCTCTCGTGAACTCGAAATAAAGGGCAAGCTCTCCAAAACGAGGGTGCTCGGCAAAATCGCCTGTGGCCAGCGGTTAATTTCTGCCCTTTTCTCGTCCCTAGAAGTCAGCAAAGTATCTTGCAGGACTTCTTGGTCTTTTGTTTTAGAGCCCGGAGCAAACTCTTTGTTCTTCCTTGGGGTTAGCCCAGTTCTCAGACTTGCACATGGCAATCCTTGAATATCCCCACGTCGTGATATTAAAGATGGATATTCCTGCATTATTCCCATCATTGTTTCTATGACAAAAAGCACAGAGTTCATACATAGTAAAGATGTCTTTTTTTCTGACGCCTTCACGTTGAGAAGCTGAAAAGGTATTTTACTGAAGTTCGGCTAAATTGCAGGAACAGGTTCACCCAGAGGACAAATTTTCTATTCGATTAGTTGTATTTCAGCCGGGAAGAGTGACCTCTAAACCCTTAACCTTTTGGACCCAAACTACTCTTCCTTTTCTCTGGCATGGAGAGCAGCCAGCAGCAGCGCTTGAGGAGGGAATTCCTTAGGCAAGTTTGCAAGTTTTGTTCCATCCAATTCTTGCAGTAGCAGCCCTCCGTCTCCAGACTTGTCCAAAGCCCTGCCTTTGCTCTTCATATGAAGCCATGAGAAGCAAGAAAAAAAAAATCAAAACAAAACAAAACAAAAAACTCTCCTAGCTGCTCTTCTTGAAAATCCCCTTCGCAGACTCCCGCTGTTTACTTAAGGTCTGTGATAAGCTCACTTGGAGCAGCTCAAACGTGTTATTTGAGAGACAGAGCTACTAACTTTGTCATCAGTGGGTACAATTCTGGAAAATAATGTCCGTGGATAAGCAAATCCTTGCTTTGTGTTTCTTATCGCCTGGGATCGCTACCTAAGTTAAAGGGCTAAATCCTGCTCCCAGATTTCCTCCCTCCGCCCACTGAAGTCAAATAGGGATGTAGCTGCGAGCAGAATTTGTCTCACWGCCCTTTGAAATGGAAATGTAGCCGGGACAGGCACTGAGTTCAGCAGTCCTGTCTGCGAGTCCCCTCCGAGCGAGGCCGGGCACCGCGGTCCGCACGGTGGCCACTGAGCGCCGAAAAACGGTGATGTGGGGCCAGAAAGTACCCAAGCGTTTCTGTGAACGGGCAGGCGTTTGTGCAGCACACCGAGCACCCTGTCCCGTGCAAAGCCATTCCGAGGCCGGGCTTCATTGATTCCTAAWGCAGAATAACTCCTGAGGAGGAAGGGACGCTGTTTGTTTTTGTTTATCATGGGTAAAACGTTGTGTGTTGAAGCCTTTTGTTAAAGGATCGCAATTGTCCAGCAACGCCCTCATCTCTGTCAAAGTGTGATGCTTTTATAGACTTTACCAATGTTTTTGCTGCCACTGATTAAAACATTATTTATACCCACTGTCGCCTGTAGTTTTAATGTAACTCCTCCATATATTTTTGAAATAATAGAAGGTGTAGAGAAATRGAATTTGTTTTGTACCTTGGACAAACAGTCCTTGCCAGGTGGGTCTGTCCCAGGGAAGATGTTTGTCCCTCCCATCATTACAGTGTTGGAGATGAGTGACTCCGCAGAGCATCCTCCCAAATGTCCCTTTGAACAGGTTTGCTGATTGCCCTAGCCATAATGGTGTGACTGTGGGCCAAGCTGTAGCCTATATTTACATTGAGGCTGCAGTTAAAAGTGCCTATCACCCATTTGCTACTGCTTTGCATTTAACAAGCCCTCCTCGAATGACCCCCGGATCTGTGCATGGGTGGTAGAGCCGGGCAGGCGCACCTAAAGCCACCTCCGTCTCCACACAGATGAGTGTCTTTTAGGGGAGACAAGGGAAAAAAAGTCCGTTTAAGAAGTGGGAAATGAAAATGTAGTGAGTAGATTTGTCCGAGCAATAAGTTTTGATTTTCCAGCTGATACGAATGAAAGCTCAAGAGAAATGGCAAACTTATTGAAACTTTCACGTGGTCCTATGGTATACACTGTTTATTTATTTATTTATTTATTACTTATTTATTTTCCTCTCCCTGTGCCCACCTCAGACCACACTACCTACCTCGAGCTGCGAGGACCTGGCCGCACTATTTTTGTCACAGGCATTTGGCACAGAGGACTTGTCCTCCCTGAAGCGTGGTCCAGGCACGTGGCCAAAAATACAGTATCTTGCTCAGACTGTGRAAGGAGCCTAATTCACAAAATAAGGCATGTGCCCTTAATGCATGGAGTGCACAGGAGGGGGAGAAAGGGGGAGAAAGGAGGGGGGCACGTATAAGCACCCACCGAGTTTAAATATTCAGACACATTTTCTGATTATACTTTCTCTGTGTCCTGTTTAATGGCTCCTCCTGTTACTACCAATACATCAATACACTTCTGTATATTATATCACCACTAGTCGTTAAGGTAAGAATGAAGAGGAAAGGCAGAGTCAATAGCAAACCCCACTCACTGTACAGTACAGTAAATAGGGACCTCTCGATGCGGAGCCACACTGCCTCCAACGCCATGTTGCTTAGCCCTTTCCCCTGATTTTTTTTTTTTTTTTTTTTTTTTTTTTTTGCAAGCCTAGAGACCAAAATAATCTAGCTAGGAACAGTCATAACAGGCAGAATTTCAAAGTGCAAGGAAGATGATAAGAATAGATTTCTACAAGTCCTGACCACGTGATTTGCGAAATAATTAATTCAGCACGTCCCTTAAGAAACACGGAGTCGTCATTAATCTGCCAAGCAAAGGACTCTATCAGACTTGAAAACTGAAGAGATCCCAAGAATATAATATACAAAGGGTGCAGTGCTTCTCTCTGCACACCTGGCTCTTTGCTAGCTGCTGAAAAAAAAGAGAGAGAGAGACGCCCGGTATGTAAACATTATTATTATTATTCTATATATTTTTTAACTTTTATTCCTCCTTGTTTAAACCTTAATGAACTTAGCTGTCAAGCGCGTGACAAATAGGGCACGCCGCTTCCTCATGTGGGGCTCGGCAGCCGCGCTGGCCGCACGCGGTGACCTTTGCTTCCCGGCGGAGGGAAGCGGGAGAGCGCGGGGCGCCGCGGAGCGCCGCGG